TATGTGTATATAATAAACTCGAGGCACTAGGTCTGGGTCACAGTATCTCCATCAGAGTGCTGTGTCCCACCTGGTTACAACTTTACTATTTTCATTTGTGTCTTGCATCTTCCTTTTTATTTCTAATCTCCTGTTGCTCCTGTTGTTGTTAAGTGCTGTCGAGTCATTTCTGACCCATAGTGACCCTGCATAGGGTTTCCAAGGAGTAGCTGGTGAGCTTGAACCACTGACCTTGCAGTTTAAACGACTTTGCAGTCTGACACATTAGCCCACAGCGTCATACCAGGACTCCGCTACTCACGTTTAATTTCTCTGCATGGGTCGTGGAGTATAGCCGGTTGTCGGACGTGACACTTTTTCAGTCTGAAATTGATCAAACATGTAATCATGATGTGTTGATTATTACTGGTGATTGCAATGCCAAAGTTGGAAACAAAAAGGAAGGCTTAGTAGTTGGAAAGTATGGCCTTGGTGACACAAATGATGCTAGAGATTGCATGATAGAATTTTGCAAGACCAAATGACTTCTTCATTGAAAATACCATTTTTAAACAACATAAAAGATGACTATACACATGGACTTTACCAAGTGGAATATGCAGAAATCAAATTGACTACATCTGTGGAAAGAGATGGTAGAAAAGTTCCATATCATCAGCCAAAAGAAGGCCAGGGGCAGATTGTGGAACAGACCATCAATTGCTCATATGCAAGTTCAGGCTGAGGAAAAAGAAAATTAAAATAAGTCCATGAGAGCCAAAATATGACCTTGATCATATCCCACCTGAATCTAGAGGTCATCTCAAAAACAGATTTGATGCATTAGACACTAATGAAGAGTTGTGGGATGACATCAAGAACATCGCACAGGAAGAAAGCAAAAGGTTATTAAAAATGCAAACAAGCAAGAAAAGAACAAAATGGTTGTCAGAAGTGACTCTGAAACTGGTTCTCAAGCACAGAGATGCTAAAGCAAACTGAAGAAGTGAGGGAGTAAGAGAGCTGAACAGAAATATTTCAAAGGGTAGTTTTTAGGAAGACAAAGTAACTATTACAAGGAAATGGAAAAAGACCAATCTGAAAACTAAAAGGGAAAAACACACTCAGCATTCCTCAAGGTGAAAGAACTGTTAAAGTAGAGGATCATCTAAAAAGTGAATGATACTCAGTGGAATGACATATTGGCTGCAATAAAGGACTCAAAACATAGCAATGATTGTGAGGATGGTGTAGTTCCAGGCAACTTTTAGGTCGGTTGTACATATAGTTGCTCTAAATTGGAACTGACATGGCAGCACCTAAAAACAAGAAGAATTATGCATTCTTGGTGACTCAGTGTGTTTAACTGTTAATCAAATGGTTGGTGGTTGGAACCCATGGGCTGTTCCTTGGTAGAAAGTCTGCTTTCATGACTACTACAGTCTTAGAAACGTTATAGGGTAGTTAGTTCTACTTTGTCCTGTAGGGTTACTAAGAGTTGGAATTGACTCAGCAGCACCAGGTTTGGTTATTTTTGGACTATGTATTGGGCACAGTCTAGATGTTGGAAATAAAACATTGAACAATCTAGACAAAGATCCTCTCATGAAATTTATTCTTGTTTTTTCCCTGAGGTTTTGGACTTTTAACAATAGACAAAGTCCTGGCTTGACTTAAGGAATCAGGTTCTACTTTTGGAATGAAGCCATATTCCGGTCCATAGGGGGAGGAGAGGTTCTTTTAGTATCCTGAAATCATATAACATAATCCACTTACTCATAAGTGGGGTCTGACTGGAACTGTTAATGGCTAGATCACTGTCACTTTTCTTGGGTGTCTGCCAGGCTCTAGCAAGACAGCCCCCTTCTGTGCTGCGTCTTCAGCAACAAGCAGGGATGCCCAAGGAGGGCAAAGGGCAGGCATTGCTGACCAGTGCTAGGGCCCAAGACCACCACTCAATCATTGCTCAGGAAGACATTGCCCCCTGGTGGTTAACACTAACCTCTATAAATGAATAAGAAACTAGCAATGAAAAGAGCAATTAACCAAAATCAATACCTCAAAATAAACGCAGGAGAGATACCAAATTTTAAGACTAATTGCTGATGTTGGTCTTCTGGACTTCTTCAATTGTAGTTTCAATAACTAGTAGTTTATTTTCATCCAGGATACACTTTTGTTAGCATAGAAAGAGATGACATTATGAAAGCAATTAAAGAGAAGAGAAGGAAAAAAAAAAATGCTTTTCTACCTGTATCAAGGTCTTCAGATGTCCAAGTAAAATCCATTATGTAATCCCAAGTATCATTACTGCTTTTCTCTTCATAATACTCTTAAAACAAATGTTTCCTATAATTAGAAAATTAAATTGCTTTCTACAATTTGATCTAGAATTTTGTGATTATGTTACTCTGGAGTTGTTTTGGGTATCTTGTCTCCACAACACCACTTTAAACTCCCAAAAGGCAAGGATCTAATCTTCAACTCAATCTCAATTTACAAGAGGATATAAACCAGTATAATAGGGTAAAGAATGTTTAGTGGGGAAAGGGGGAAGAGATAATGTTAAACAATGTCCTGTGTTGTTGTTAATTGCTGACCCTGTATAAGCTTTCTGAGGAGCGGTTGGGTTGGTGAGCTTGAGCTACTGACTTCACTGTTGAAACTGACTTTACAGTCCAGCGCATTAACCCACAGCACCAAGGGGGAGATAAATACGTAATTAGAAACTGTGATTTGTGCTCTGAAGGACCAGTATTCTTTGAGCGAATACCTCGCAGTAGGAAGTGTGAGGAACCTATTGACAAAGGGTTTAACATTTATGTGTGTTTCAGTCACGTTTGAAAGCTGAAATGATTTAGTTAGTATTGGAGAAACCCTCTGAGAGTAGTTAAAATGGAACTTTTCTCAAAAATAATGTTAACCTCCATATATTGCGAATTTAAATTGAGCAAGAATGTTAGGTGCTACAGCCCTAACAAAATATGTTGTTATTGTTGATTTCGACTGCGGAAACCCCACGTGTGTCAGAGTAGAACTACTCTATAGGGTTTTCAAAGCTGTTGCTGTTACGTTCCCGCGAGTCGGTTCCGACTCATAGCCACCCTGTATAGGGTTTCCAAGGAGTGATTGGTAAGTTTGAACCACCGACTTTGCTGTCCAGTGTATTAACCCAGCGCCACATAGGAAACATCTCCAGATTAGTCTTCTTGGCCCCTCTGAGTGGGTTCCAATCACCAGCCTTTTGGTTAGTAGTCGTACGCATAACATTTTCTGCTACCCAGGAACTCCTCCGTTGTTGTTATGTGTCCATTCCAACTCACAGCGACCCTATATAGGGTTTCCAAGGAGCAGCTGATGGGTTTGAACTGCTGACCTTGCGATTCGCAGTTCCAATGCTGATCCTACAGCACCAGGGTCACTATGGATCGGAATCGACTCGATGGCACTTGACAACAAGATCATCTGTACTGACCTCAAGTACGAAATAGTCACTTAGCCAACAAAATATTTACTGAGTGCCTATTTTTGGTGTTGGCGTTGTTGGACCCCAAGGCTGGACCACAAGTGGGCAGTTCAAACTCACCAGCTGCTCCTTGGAAACTCTATATAGAGTCGTTGTGAGAAGGAACCTACTCGACAGCACTTAACAACTATATATCAGATGGTGGTTGTGTGCAGTCGAGTCGGTTCCGACTCATAGATGCTTTATGGGAGCAGAAAGTCTCATCTGCCTGTGGAAAAGTGTCTGGTGGTCTCGAACTGTTGACGTAACAGGTAGTATACTTAAACAGCCTAGAAGACAAAAATCCTGTTTGTCTTCTATGAAGGATTCCCAGAAGAGTGAGGGAAGTAGCCAGGTAAACAAATAATTCCAGAAGAGTCTGATAAGGGCCACAAGAGGTCTGAATACTGGCCAAAAGCCCGAGAAACCGCCCGTGGGGGGCGGTGGAGAGGCTTCCGTGGATCAGGCGTTCGCCGTGGAGTTGAAGCTGCGCCCTAAAAATGCCGGTTCGGAGTAGGCTGCCCCAGGTGTCTCTTGAGTTTGCTCACTCTGTCATTTCAAACTACTGGTCCCGCGGGGAAGAACTGTGAATACACCGGTGGTCCAAAGAGAGTTGACTGAGGAAAAGGGGTGCAAATCCCATCTGGAAGTTAAGCAAACAAAAGTAGCACATCCCAGTTTCCACTCTGGCAGGGCCTATTTTCCTGAAGTCCCTCTCCAAGCTCACTCGCACGGACACGCGAGTTCGAAACTCAGGCCTGACTCGGACGTCGGGGACAAATGGAGGGAGCCCAGTGAACCCGAAGAGCCGACCTCCCTCTCCTTCCTCAGCCTTCGCCCTCGGACCTACAGCGAAGTAAAGAGCTGGGGTCGCCGCTTCCGCCTGCGGCCCGCCGCCCCTCCCCGGCGCGCGCCATCCGGCCGTGGGACAGCCGCCCTCCGCGCGGCCCCTCCTCCTGCGGGGGGCTTCGTCGTTCCCGTCGCGTCCCTCTGGGCTGTAGCCTACAGCCCACGTCCAGAGAGGGCGGAGGAAGGAAGAGAGAGGAGGGGAGAGGGGAGGGAAGAAGGCGAGAGAAAGGGAGCTACTTCGATCCCGTACTGCTCAGAGCCTGCCAGGAGCACGCACTCAGCGGCTCTCCGGCTCCCAGCGTCCCAGCTGCAGCCGAGCCCGCGCCCCGCACGAACTCCTCTCCGGACACCCCGCGTTCCCCCCGCTCCAGCAGCTGCTAGACTCGGGCAGCGGCAGCCCACAGCCCCAACTCAGCCACATCCTCAACTCTGTAGCCCCATCCTTTCTTCCTTCCCTCGCGCCCGCCCTCTCCAGGTCTCTCTCCCGGTTCCCCGATTGTCTCCGTTCCCTTGCCCTTTCCTTGCCCGATCTCTTCCCTGCACTTCCTGAGTCGTCGGCCGCGGCAGTCTCAACGCGACTCCGGAGCCCGAGCCACAGCTCCAGCCTTCGCAACCCGCGGCGCCCCACCCGAGGGAGCTCCGGTGTCCCGGGAAGGGAACCGTGGGCGAGCGCCCTCGCCCAGCCCCGCGCCCCAGCCCCGCCCGGGGAGAAAGGACCGGGAAGATGAACAACGGCAGCAAAGCCGAGAAGGAAAACACCCCAAACGAGGCCAACCTTCAGGAGGAAGAGGTACTGAGTAGCTCGGTGCGACCTGGGACTGGAGCCGCCGGCTTTCTCCTAAGTGCCGGCTGCCGGAAGGGAGAAGCCGGCGGGGCGCTGGTGCTGGTGCCGGGCGGTGGGCAGGGTGCCCAAGGAAGGGGGTGCCGTAGTTGAAGGTTCGCAAATTACCCTTGTGCCCCAAGACGCAAGCCTCCAAATTTGACCCCCGAAGGGTGTATCTTTGGAGTGTGTTTTTGTGTGACCACACTGCGTGCCTAAAATTGCGTAACTCTGAGAACTTTTCGGAGACTTTCCTAAGTGTAATGATCAACTTTTGTGTGCTAGGGATTTAAAAAGAGGAATCGAGAGGTGGATTCTGGGTGACCTCAGATTACTGGGACCTGGAGGGTCAGGATATAGTTCTGAGTGTGGGATTGGAAATTGTGTGTGTTGTAAGAAACTCGGAGACAAGTTCTTATAAAAAGATAACTTCTGTCCACTGCCCCTCCCTTTCAATGTACAAGTTCTTGGTGAATATCTTTAAAGCGGAAGCATTTTGGTTTAATAAGTAGATAATTCATCAGCCGCATTCTTTTCTGATGAGTCAAAGACCCCGAACCTGGACGATTAACTTTGGTAAATTTAGGCACAATGCACGTGTGGGGAGTTGAACATAAGGGTTAAAAACTTAACAGTTATTTCTGAATACAAATGCTATGTGATGTATCCGTAATAAAAATGAAATTGTGAGGCTGCGAAGAGTTCCTTTGGTGGAAACACAAACTACAGTAAGTGTAGGGAGGAATCCAGACTTTGCAAAGTTTTGTACCTAGGATATTCGTTATGCATCATGTTAAATAACACCGTTCCTGCAGGTAGCGTATCTGGAGGCTAAAAAACAGTATTTTTCTTGTACTTTTGAAGATCTTACCTAGATGAGTTCTTGAAGACTTAAAAAAGAACTTGTTGTTAGGTGCCTTCGAGTCGGTACCGACTCATAGCGACCTTATGCACAGCAGAACGAAACTTTTCCAGATCCTGGGCCAACCGCAAATGCCAGAAAGTACACTTGTACATTTGACCTTATATGAATTGCATCCTAATATATAAAGTGGACACCGTGGAAAGACGATTCAGAGCGGTTGGAAGCTGAGATTATAATTGAGGCACTCTGTATGTGCACACACAAATTCAGATAGTGAAGTCAAACGTTGGGGAATTCATTCATGTGTACGAGTATAAACCAGCTGAGTATTGTGTATTTGTTAAATAGGAACTACTTGTGGGAAAGATAAAGGAAAAAACTAAGTCTGTGTAAAACGATTCAAAATAAAGATAAGATTTTACTCTTTATAGTTGTATGATAATGCAATCTAGGTGAATTGTGGAAAGATTAAAATTGCCCTCTCCGCTGGAGAAATTGTCCTATTTTATGATCAACTATTATTTTGAAAGTAGGTGCTTGATTTATTACATGACAAGCAATACTACTGACATTTCTTTTGCAAAGCTTTTTAAAGCTTTGAATTGCAAGTTCCACTTTTTCTTTTTATCTTTGTAGCACTTTTATGGGTTCCTTTACTATTTAAGTTCTTTACCCTATCACATGTGAAATTTGAAAAAATGAAGGCAAGTTTGGTTTTTAGTTAACTCACCAATCCACTTAGCACACAAAGATAATCCTTGCTTGCTTCAGGAACTTTTCTATTTCAGATTGGCAATCTGTTTACTTGAGGGATAAAAATATATTTGTATGAAACCATCTTTTTCTCTGTTCACCCAATTGGGAAAACTTGTAACTGGTAAAAAGTTTAATAAGGCAAACCAGATTATATTTTGCTTTAGGTTGTAGACAGCAAAAGAGGTTTGAGTATTCTAAAACCCTAACCCATTTAACTTAATGAAATTAAATAGACAAAAGTCACATTTTTCTGCTAGACTCAAGTCAACAGCAACCAGGACTGAGGTGTTGACTGCATTGTTTCTGGGGGCCTTACTGTTAATGTGTGTGAGACTGTACAAATAAAACCAATCACAGGCCCTCTCAGTATAGTCACTGCTTCCTACCTGCCCTGTGCTCCTTTTCAGGTAGGAATGACATGTGGCTCTAGCAAAAAAAAAAAAAACTAGTTAGTTTAAAAATAGGTGGACAGTCTCAGGAAGATCTCAGAACTCAAGTGGTACAAGAGAGAGGGTGTATAAAATATAAAGAGAGAAGGGACTATGTTAGAAATTCAGAAAATAGTTGACCTAAATGATCTAGATAATTTTGCCCCACTTAGTTTTTTGGTTTTGTTTTTTTTTGGCAGACTCCTTCCTTCTTTAACCCTGAGAGCCACAAGTAAAATAAATAATGGTATTTGGTGGGTCCTATTAATGTGCTCGACATCATACAAAACCACAGCCTGGACGCTTTCCCTGCCCACCCAGTGGATCAGCAGTTCCTCCTTAAACACATTAAAAAGCCTTGGCAAAGAACTCTAGTAAACAGAACACACACATCTAAAATGTATATATAACACACAGTGACAAAAGAGGAAAAATATGTTCTGTTCTAGTTTCTGATCGCCATTAAATTGACATGGAAAAGAGTAAAATCGTCAAGAGAAAATAGTTTATAGATCATCAGGGTGATTTTAAAAATAATTTTCTCCTATTTAAAAAATGAGCTTTTATCATTCAGTATGTGTTAGCTGTATTTGAGATCCTTAATACTTTACTCTGGAGCAACAGCGATGTGGAAACCCTTAGTTCCAGCTGTATACAATGAATAGAGTAGGATTTTGGATAATTTTTGTGGCCTGTTAGAGTTGAAAATTTTCAAGAACTTGGGAAGGACATGTACTTGTGCTTTGGATAGCATTTAAAACTTTGAGGAAAAATAATTTCACGATTTGGCTAAGCTACTGTGTAAGAGAGATAGTACAACTGGTTTCCTGGTTTCCAGTGTGTTGTAATTGTGTATACTTGTATAAGTTGTCCTTATAAAGAAAAACTAATTGCTGAGATCTTACTGCAATCTGAGATTGATACAGCTTATATATAGGGTATCAGATAATTTTTTAAAATAGTTTTGCAAATAAAATTAAATTTGTCTCCAATTTTGGAGTATATAATATTCTTAAAAATACCTTTGGCAGTTAGCACTCATCAGACTTTATTAATAATATTTAGGTCTTAGACTCTAAGTCTCACTAACCATTTAATGCACTCAAATACTGAAACTTTTTCATCTTATAATTGAAAGAAATACTTGATTTGCTGGACACTGGATTTTCATACAGAAATTTAAGAAAGTGGGATAAATATGTAATTTTGGTTTTATTCTGTCCATGTCATGGGTTACTTTCCAGGCAGATTACAAATCATTTTTAAAAGGCATTTTATTGTGTTGAGGCACTGATGTCAAATAGAGTAATTTCCCTTAAATTGCTTTGACTGAACTGACTTGTACTTAAAATAAAACCAAAAAAAAGCAAAAAATCTTGGCACAGTTTGAATATTGATTGAAAAGATGTTTGGCAGATGTTGGACAGAAATCATCTAAAGACCATTCTTTAGAGGTTAATACTGATCTTTACTTTGCATTCCATATTTTTAAATTGCTTCATAATTTCATCAAAATAATTGGGTTCATAAAAAATGTTGTTTCTTAGAATTGGCAGAGAAAAACATACCATGTTAGTTTGATGTGGCACCTCACATTGAGTGTTAAGATTAATCTACATTATGGCTTTGGGAAAATACTGGGCAGTCTTATACAATTTAACTGTTTCGAGTCTCTGTTATTCTACATCAAGTCTAATACAATAAATTTATATTTCAATCATAGAATAGTATTTGGTGACAGTATTTTGGATGAAAGTATAGTGACCTCATAGTGGAATGATGCTGTAAGACCACTGCCAGTACGGCATACACTTGAGTTATTTTCCAGTGTTGATTTTAGAATTTTCCTGATGTACCCTTATGTGCAAATACATTCCCCCTGTTTCCAAGGACATTTGTTTTTTTGATGCATAGTTTCGATGCACTATAGATTCAGGTTCGTTGTGGAGATACTTTCATATAATTTGTGGAGGGTTCATACTAATTTTTGCTTTGAAGGATATAAGTGTTCAAAGTTTTTGTATCGTATATAAAAAAGCTTACACATCATTTGATTCAGTAACTTTAAGAATTTACCCTAAGAAAATGGTAAGCACCAATATATATGAGCTATATAAATGATTATTACACCAAAACACCCAAAAACCAAACTTACAGTTGTCAAGTCGATTCTGACTCAGTGACTCTATAGGACATAATAGAACTGTTCTGTTTCCAAGGGTTTCCAACACTGTGAATCTTTATGGAAGCAGATTGCTTCATATTTCAGTCAAGAAACAGTTCTTGGGTTCCAACTGCTGATCTTTCAGTTGTTGTTCTTGTTAAGTGCCGTTGTTGAGTCAGTTCCGACCCATAGCGACCCTTTGTATCGGTTTTAAGGAGCGGCTGGTGAGCTTGATCCACGGAGTTTGTGGTTCAAACCTACCTTGCAGTCCAGCGCATTCACCCACAGGATTACACCAATGATGATTGGTGGTTCTGTGCTGTGGAGCCCGTACCGACTCATAGCCGATCCTTTACAGGGTTTCCGAGGCTGTAAATCTTTATGAGAGCAGAAAGCCTCTTCTTTCTCCTGCGGAACAGCTGATAGTTTTGAACTGCTGACTTTAAGGTTCGCAGCCAGATTCGTAGGAGGCCCAAAACACTACTACACAGGGCTTTCCTCATTCACCTCAGCAGTGTTATTTGTACTTTCAGTCAGCACTTCCTTTTCCTTATCCTGTCCTTTCCTGAGTCCATTGAGTTGCTTCTGAGTCGCTTCCTACTCATAGCAACCCTGTATAGGGTTTCCAAGGAGTGGCTGGTGAGTTTCAACTGATTTAAACCTACCTTGTGGTCCAGTGCTTATCCTATGGCGCCTCACCAGGACAGCAAACCAATATTCAACCAGCTGTGCCATCTGAGCTCCTTATAGTTAAGTG